AGCTGAATCTGTCTTTATATAAATACATAGTTTCGTAGTATTTTTTTTTACTGCATAATTAGTTGTTTTTGCGTGAGCCTGACTTTTTTCGGGTGGACTGGAGTCAGGTTTTGGTTTATTCCATTTCCTCGTGAAGAAATATGTCTCGGAGCAGAGGTCAGTTCGTGGAAACCGTCTGACCTCGCAGCATTAAGATTCGTTCATTCGACAGTCGGTGAGTACTTTTTTATTTAACCAGTCGCTGCTATTTGGTCGTGATGTATGTAATGCGCCAAATCCCGTAGGAAGAAGGACAATAACTCTTTCCAATTGATAAAATTCACCAAACGTTCTCTTTGTTCCGGCTTTAAATCCTCGATCTCGGGAATCGTCACCAACACAGAATGTCTGTCTTCGTCTACGTCCATCTCGACGCTTTGTTTACTGTTGTGCTGAAACACAAAAGGGACACAGACAGACGCGACAAGTTTGACGTCATGACTTCACAGCTCACAGCTGATTGGTGCTCGGTCTACAGTTTCTGGTGTTCTTGAAAAATCGTCTAGTGTATTCAGATTCCTGATCTAGTCGCTGGAGAAAAATTAAATTGAGTGGAGGCGCTAGGTGGCGCCAGCCTGGCAAATCTAAACCAGGACTAAAACAGGATTATCACAATTTTTGACTGATCAGATTAATTAATTAATCATTGCATTTATATAGCGCCTTTCAAGATCCCCAAAGCACTTTACAGTTTATTATTCATTCGCTCAACACTCGTGGTGGTAAACTACTACTGTATATTATACTATATTTCTCTCTGTTATTTATTCACTCCATACTCCCAGGTGGTGTGACTGTTGTAGCCACAGCTGCCCTGGGACAGACTGACGGAAGCAAGGCTGCCAATCTGCACCATCAGCCCCTCCGACCAACACCAACACTCACACACACACAAACACACACCACTTTCACACTAGGCAGTGTGGGTGAAGTGTCTTCCTAAGGACACAACAACAGTCTTGTCACTGCTGCCTCCTGTGGCTCCTGGAATTCCCAGTGTCTCCGTCCAAGTCCAGACCAGGCCCGGCCTCTGAGCTTCTGAGATCTGACGGGATCAGACTTTGACAAAGCCGGTGTGGCCAACAGTCAAGAGGAGCATAAATTCTTATTTGTTTCACCAAAATATAGAAAACCGTGTTTGCAAATGACCTTAAAACAAAAAATGCAGCAGCTGGAGTCCCACAGATCATGACTGACACGAGAATCCACAAGGTTCCACGATGTTTTCACAGCTTTATTTATACCAACCATCCCAACCCGAGTTTGTCCAAATCTGGTGACCCGAAGTCAGAAGTGTCAAACTCAAACTCACAGAGGCCAAAATTAAAAACTGGGACTAAGTCGTGGGCTGAACTAAATATTTATTGAGAAATTTCAACAACATCTGCATGTTTTCTCTTCTTTCGAGATATGTAATATTAAACATTTTTCTTATTAAAATAAATGTTTAATAATATTTTTGCTTAAATATTGAATCCAGAACAAACAGAATATAAAATAAAAACAACATTTGGTCACACTTTAGTTTAGGGACCACATATTAATCTCTAACTAAGTGGTAATTGGTTTGCTAATTAACTGTTACTTAGTATTAATCAAACAGTTATTAAAGCTTATTAAGATTTCAGTGTACGAACAAAAACATCGATTATAATCTCCACGACTTTAATGGGAAGAAAATAGTTAATGTGTTAGTACTTGAAAAATACGGCCTTAGACAAAAATGCATTATAAGTACTTTATAAATACTAACAAAGATGTAATTAAGCACTTTGTCAGCTCTAATACATGTTTGATATGATCTTGTGGGCCAAATCTAATTATATCGTGGCCCAAATTTGGACCCCGGGCCTGAGTTTGACACGTCTGGTCTAAGCAACAGTTAAAAGAAACACGGGGAACTACAAAGACCATGATCCTTTGCTCTGTTTTAGTCCAATTTACAAGATGAAATAACTTTTGAAGCACTTAAAAAAAAAAAAAATATTTTATAATTTTTTTAGAATTTGTCAAGTTTGAGGGATTGGACACCCAGCACATCCACAACAAGACAGACTTAACTAAACACGCATACAAATAAATAAATAAATAAATAAATAAATAATAATATAATAATAATATAATAATAATAATAATAAAGTAATAATAATAAATAAATAATAATAATAATAATAATAATAATAATAATGTAATAAATAAATAAATAAAATAAAATAAATAATAAATAAATATAAATAATAAATAAATAATAAAATAAAATAAATAATAAATAATATATATAATAATAAAAAAATAAATATAAATAATATATATAATAAATAAACAAATAAATAAAATAATAATGTATATAAATTAACAAATAAATAAATAATAATAAGCACTTTTAAATCTTAACTCTTTGGTTTATGACAGAACCAAAGACTTTTTAAAGGAATTTTTAAAGGTCAAAGCAGCATATTCACAATTTTGCTTCCACAAAATATTGCAGTAAATATCGTACAGAGAATGTGGATTTCAACTACAGCTCGACTTGAAATGAGTCTTCGAAACAGTCAACATGCATCAGTAATTGTCTCTGCTTTTGTTTAAATCGGCCAAAACCTTTATTTGACCAGATCTTTCTTTGAATTCTCATCATTTACTGGAAACATGTTTTATTTTTCTGTTGCTTAACTTGAAACATGAATCACAGTTCTGAGAAAAAGAGGAGGCAGAACAATTGACGCAATTGAAAAGTTACAAAGCCGACCTCTTGTGCAAAAAAAAAAGACCTTTCAGCTTTTCGCCATGTTATAACTGTTTCTCTTCTAAATCACCTCTCGAAGTTTTGTTCAGAGTGATTCATGCATGTTTCAGAGATCTTTATTCTTCTGTAGAGCGCTCAAAAGTATCGAAAAGCAGACACTAATCGAAACTAAAACTGGTATTGAAACTGGATTCTCACTGGAGCAGGTATCGATACTGAAAAGTCAAATTCACGGGACAGAAATGAAGTTTTCCTGAATGATGTTGAGCTGCATCAGAACAAGTAAAAGAGCAGATTTGCCACGTTTACCTGAGAGCTTTAATTCTGAAAACAAATTACTGTAATTCTGCTTTAAAAAGACCATGTAAACATTTAATTCCTAATGCTAAACTGCAGTCCCACAAACTAAATATGAGAGTAAAGTGAAATATACAGATGATTCATGTTTGTCTGTCAAACATCATTGTGCTGGATATTTTATTTGGCCTTAATAAAAACATTTTAAGCCGCCTAAACTTGCAGATGTGCTCTAATCTCACGCACATTTTAGACACGTCCTTTCTCCAGGTTTGATAGAGTTTTCGGGCGGAAGTGGGAATGAAAAAATGACTTTGTCTTGAAGGTGCTTGGACTCGGTCTTGTCTCGGTCTCGAGGCCTGATACTTGATGAGTCATAAAATGGACATAGATTCATAAAAACACTGATATAAAATACAAATAAATGTCATAAAATAACGATACATAGTGTTGGTCGCCTGTGGTGTTGGTCTTGATTCGTCTCAGAAACAGAGACGGTTCCTTTCTGCTTCTGCGTGTTTGAGCTTAAGAAAGTGAACGTCACCATCTTGCGGGATTTGCAGGCAAAACATCTCAGATGTGGATGGGAGCAGGTGCCACCCGGTGTTTGTCTCTCTGTGTTTGTCTCTCTGTGTTTGTCTCTGTGTTTGTCTCTCTGTGTTTGTCTCTCTGTGTTTGTCTCTCTGTGTTTGTCTCTCTGTGTTTGTCTCTCGGTGTTTGTCTCTCTGTGTTCGTCTCTCTGCGTTTGTCTCTCTGTGTTTCTCTCTCGGCGTTTGTCTCTCGGCGTTTGTCTCTCGGCGTTTGTCTCTCGGTGTTTGTCTCTCTGTGTTTGTCTCTCTGTGTTTGTCTCTCGGTGTTTGTCTCTCTGTGTTTGTCTCTCGGCGTTTGTCTCTCTCTGTGTTCGTCTCTCTCTGCGTTTGTCTCTCTGTGTTTGTCTCTCTGTGTTTGTCTCTCGGCGTTTGTCTCTCGGTGTTTGTCTCTCTGTGTTTGTCTCTCTGTGTTTGTCTCTCTGTGTTTGTCTCTCGGCGTTTGTCTCTCGTGTTTGTCTCTCTGGTTTGTCTCTGTCTCTCTGTGTTTTGTCTCTCGGCGTTCGTCTCTCTGTGTTTGTCTCTCTGTGTTTGTCTCTCTGTGTTTGTCTCTCTGTGTTTGTCTCTCTGGTTTGTCGTTTGTCTCTCTGGTGTTTGTCTCTCTGTCTCTCGTTTTGTCTCTCTGTGTTTTGTCTCTCTGTGTTTGTCTCTCGGTGTTTGTCTCTCGTGTTTCTCTCGGCGTTTGTCTCTCGGCGTTTGTCTCTCGGCGTTTGTCTCTCGGCGTTTGTCTCTCGGCGTTTGTCTCTCGGCGTTTGTCTCTCGGCGTTTGTCTCTCGCGTTTGTCTCTCGGCGTTTGTCTCTCGGCGTTTGTCTCTCGTCTCTCGGCGTTTGTCTCTCGGCGTTTGTCTCTCGGCGTTTGTCTCTCGGCGTTTGTCTCTCGACTCTTCTGGTCTCTGGACTCTGTCTGTGGAGTTTGTGAGGAGGTGTTTTTGTGTTTCTCTGCAGAGTCACAGCAGGTAGTAAAGACCCAGACCCACTCACTCTGCGACACGAGAGACGTAAACACTCCTCTCACTCCTCTCCTCTCTGCTCCACACTATTCTCTCTCTCTCTCTCTCTCTCTCTCTCTCTCTCTCTCTCACACACGCATTTTGTTCCTTTCTCTTTCCTCTAATTCTTTTGCCTCATCTCTATCTCTATTTCTATTTTCTCTCTTCTCCACCTCACTCTCTCCTCTCTCTTTCGTTCTGTCCTCCTTCTCTCTCTCTCTGTTCTCTGCCTCACTCCACTCTCTGTCACACCGTCTTTGTCTCTCTTTCCTTCGTTCTTCCTCTTCTTTGTGCACCGTCTCCACTTTTGCCTTTTCTCTCTCCCCTCTGTATCTCTTTATTTCTCTCTCTCTCCTCCAACCCCTTTTCTTCCTCTTTTCTCTTTCTCTCTTGTGTAGCTCTCTCTGTCCATTTCTCTCTTCTCTTCCATCTCTCTCTGTCTCTCTCTCTCTCTTTCTCTCCTCTGTCCATCTCTCATTCTCTCCTCTCTTTCTCTCTCTCGCTCCTCTCTAATCTTTTCTGTCCATCTGTCTTTTACTCTTCTCTACCCCTCTTTCTCTCTCTCTCTCTCTCTCTGTCTATCTCTCTCTTTTCTTCCTCTCTCTTTCTCTCTCTCCTCTCTAACCCTCTGTCCATCTCTCTTTCTCCCTTCCTCTTTCCCACTCTTTCTATCTCTTTTCTAACCCTGACTGTCCATCTCTCGTTCTCTCCCGTCTTTCTCCCCCTCTCTCTTTCTCTTTTCTCTAACCCCCCTTTTCTCCCTCTCCTCTCTAACCCTCTCTGTCCATCTCTCTTTCTCTTTTCTTCCTCTCTCTCTCTCTTTCTCCATCTCTCCTCTCAAACCCTCTCTGTCCTGTTCTCTCTTCTCCAACCCCCTCTTCTCTCTCTCTCTCTCTCTGTCTCTCTCTGATACAGAGGGTTACCCTCTATCCATCTCTCTTTCTCTCTTCTCTCTCCCCCCTCCTTCTTCTCTTCCTCCCTCTCTCTCCTCTCTAACCCTCTCTTCCTCCCCCTTTCTCTCTCTTCTCTTCCTCTACCTCTCTCTCTCTCTTCTCTCTAACCCTCTCTGTCCATCTCTCTTTCTCTCTTCTCTTCCCCTCTCTCTCTCCTCTCTAACTCTCTCTTCCTCCCCCTTTCTCTCTCTTCTCTTCCTCTACCTCTCTCTCTCTTCTCTCTAACCCTCTCTGTCCATCTCTCTTTCTCTCTTCTCTTCCCCTCTCTCTCTCCTCTCTAACTCTCTCTTCCTCCCCCTTTCTCTCTCTTCTCTTCCTCTACCTCTCTCTCTCTTCTCTCTAACCCTCTCTGTCCATCTCTCTTTCTCTCTTCTCTTCCCCTCTCTCTCTCCTCTCTAACTCTCTCTTCTTCCCCCTTTCTCTCTCTTCTCTCTAACTTTCGCTGACTGTTTATGTTTCTCTCTTCTCTTCCGCTACCTCTCTCTCTCTTCTCTCTAACCCTTTTTGACCATCTTTTGTTCTCTCTTCTCTTCCTCCCTCTTTCTCCTCTAACCCTCTCTTCCTCCCCCTTTCTCTCTCTTCTCTTCCTCTACCTCTCTTCTCTCTAACCCTCTCTGTCCATCTCTCTTTCTCTCTTCTCTTCCTCCCTCTTTCTCCTCTAACCCTCTCTTCCTCCCCCTTTCTCTCTCTTCTCTTCCTCTACCTCTCTTCTCTCTAACCCTCTCTGTCCATCTCTCTTTCTCTCTTCTCTTCCCCTCTCTCTCCCCTCTCTGTCCATCCTTTGTTCTCTCTTTCTCCCCTTCTCTCTGTGTCTCTTCTCCAACCCTCTCTTTCTTTCTTTCTCTCTCTCTCCTCTCTAACCCTCTCTGTCCATCTCTGTCTTCTTCTTTTCCCCTCTTTCTCTCTCTCTCTCTCTTTCTCTCTCTCTTTCTCCTTTCTAACCATCTCTGTTCATCTCTCATTCTCTCCTCTCTCTCTCTCTCCTCTCTAACCCTCTCTGTCCATCTCTGTCTTCTTCTTTTCCTCTCTCTCTCTCTCTCTGTCCTTTCTAACCATCTCTGTTCATCTCTCATTCTCTCCTCTCTTTCTCTCTCCTCTTCAATCCTCTCTGTCCATCTCTGTCTTTCACTCTTCTCTACCCCTCTCGTTCTCTCTCTTCTTTCTCTCTCTCTCTCCTCTTCTCTGTTCACTTCATTAAAACCATGATATGAAGTCGTGTCGGTCAAAAGTCGATCTCGTCACGGCGACATGAGACGTGTGTGTGTGTGTCTTTGTGTTCGTGAAATCGCCGCACGCCGACGAGGTTAAGCGGCGCCGTCGATGCGGCCGCAGCAAAGGCCTCTGGGAAATGCGGTTTTGTTCTGACAGATGAGTCCGGCTGTAAGTGTCAGAAATGCAGATCTGCAGCCCACAGAGCGACGCCGATCCACCTCATTCTGTTTAAACAACCAAACATGATTCTCACGATCGATCGGAAACACGACCGGGACCAAACATCATCAAGTGTGGCCCACAACAAAAATATCTCTGTATTTCACACACTTTCACTATTTAACATGAAACAAACAGCTCGACGGCGCCAGATTTTCCAGAATTAAAACTAAGACCTAAGGGAAACTTTAGTACATTTGTCTGGATTTTTTTTGCAGAATTTTGCTTTTAAAACTCCAAAATTTTACCTCCTCATGAAGTGTTACACATCCTTTTTTTTTTTTTTTTTTTCAGTACAACCTGATATTCAGTGTCGGGGAGTAACAGATTACATGTACCGGAGTAATCAGAGTACAAATGATGAGTAACTGTATTCAGTTACAGTTACTGTTTCAGTGAGTGGTAATTGGATTACAGTTACTTTGTTGAAATAAATGGATTAAACAGAGGGATTTAACTGTTTTCACATTTTGGGCTAAACCAGAACTAAACCAAGTCTAAAACCAGGACTAAACCCAGGACTAAACCAGGACTAAACCAGGACTAAACCAGGACTAAACCAGGACTAAACCAAGGACTAAACCAGGACTAAAACCAGGACTAAACCAGGACTAAACCAGGACTAAACCAGGACCAAACCAGGACTAAACCAGGACTAAACCAGTCTAAAACCAGGACTAAACCAAGGACTAAACCAAGTCTAAGGACTAAACCAAGGACTAAACCAGGACTAAACCAGGACTAAACCAGGACTAAGGACTAAACCAGGACTAAACCAGGACTAAACCAGGACTAAACCAGGACTAAACCAGGACTAAACCAGGACTAAACCAGGACTAAGGACTAAACTCTAAACCAGGACTAGGACTAAACCAGGACTTAAACCAGGACTAAACCAAGTAAACCAGGACTAAACTAACCAGGACTAAACCAATAAACCAGGACTAAACCAGGACTAAAACCAAGTAAAACCAGGACTAAACCAGGACTAAACCAGGACTAAACCAGGACTAAACTTAAACCAGGACTAAACCAAGTAATAATAATAAACTAATAAACCAGGACTAAAATAAACCAGTAAACCTAATAATAAATAAACCAGTCTAAACCAGGACTAAACCAGTAAATAATAAAATAATAATAATAATAATACCAATAAACCATTTCCCTAAACATTTAAAAATGTGTGAGTTTTTGAAGACTGTTCACTTTTATATTTGTGCTCCAGCCGCAGACAAAGCGCGAGCATGTGACCCTGACAGAGTCCGTGTGGTCCGGGACTTGAACCTGTGACCTTGTTGTGGTGTGGTTCAGCGCTGAGCCGCTCTTCACACGGGTTCATGTGTTTAGTGTTTGTGTGCGACTCCGAGGGAATCACACCTCTGCTTCTCAATCTCTCTCCTCTCTGCCAAAGGAAAACAGCTCCGAGGCTTTTCTCCTCGTCCCACCGCCCCCCCCCCCCCCCCCCCCCCCCCCTCTCCTCCTCTCTCTCTCTCTCTCTCTCTTTCTCTCTTTCTTTCTTTCTTTCTTTCTCTCTCTCTCTCTCTCTCTCTCTCTTTCTCTCTTTCTCTCTCTCTCTTTCTTTCTTTCTCTCTCTCTCTCTTTCTTGTCAGAGCTTTTCACAGGTTTGCAAACCTTTCCCAACTGATTTTCACAGGTTTTCTAGTCCCTCCCTTCCATCTCTTTCTCTCTCTCGCTCTCCTCCTCTTCCCAGTGTAGATTCACAGGTTCCCCTCTCTCCCTCTTTCTCTCTCTCTCTCTCTCTCTCTCTCTCTCTCTCTCTCTGTCCATCTCTCTTTCCTCCCTCTCTCTCTTTTACTCTCTTCCCTGGTTCTCTCGTACTCTCTATTTCCTGTCTCTCTGTCTTTCCTTCCCCTTTCCTCTCTCTCTCTCTCTTCTTCTCTCTCTCTCTCTCTCTCTCTCTCTCTCAATCTTTCCTCTCTCTCTCTTTCCTGTCTCCCTCTCTCCTTCTTCCACACAGGCCTCTCTTTCATCCTCTCTCCCTCTTTTCTCTCTCTCCCTCTCTCCTCCTCTTCTCGGTGCACATTCAGAGATTAACACTTCTCTCTCTCTCTCTTTCTCTCTCTTCTCTTCTCTTCTCTCTCTCCTCTCTCTCTCTCTCTCTCTCTCTTCTCCTCTCTCTGCTCTGGTCCTGGTCTGGTCCCTGTCTCAGTCCCGCTCTGGTCTCGCTCTGGTCTCGGACCTGGATCAGTCCTGATTCAGTCCGTATGCGGTGCAAAAGTTCGGCATCACAGTCACTGAAGTCACGTAAACGGGAAACGGCCGTTATCCGTTTTTTCCATTCTTCATTTAAACACAAAATCGAAAACTGAAAAAACAAATCATTATCCGTTTTTTCATTTTGGTTTTAGAGACAAATAACGAAGAAAACTGTTGTTTTTTTCGTTTTCTTATTTTTGGTTTTATATTGAAAAACGAATGAACGAATGATACACGGATTGTAGTTTTACCATTTTTAGTTTTTACCATGATTTTGTCCCTCGCAGAGCAGGTTCATAACAAATTGGGCCCAATTTGACTAAAATTACACTGAGTGTGGAGTGACTGAATAGTGAACTGTAAAGTGCTTTGGGTATTTTGAAAGGCGCGATATAAATGCAATCAATCAATCAAAAGATCAGATACAGGAACATAGTCGCCAAAAAATTGGCTGCGTTCACACTGCACCTGAAGTGACCCAAATCTGATTTTTTGGCCCCTATGTTCCTGTATCTGATCTTTTAATGTCAGTCTGAACCACACAGATCCAGATTTTTTTCAAATGTGACCCAGGACACTTGGATATTTGCTCCTGAAACTGATACATATCTGATCTTTTGACATGTGACTTCAGTCTGAACGGTCAAAGTGCATTCATCCACCTACACGTTATCAACAAGACACAAACGTCACTATTCTGCGCTGAAGTAGGAGAAAATTGTTAATAAACTCCATGTGACTGAAGTGAAGCACATCTCCACTCACCACTTTTGGCTCCGTCTCCACATCCACACGTTCCTTTCAACGTTCTGTCCCACAAAACACCACGACCAAAAACCTCGTCCTTCTCCTTCTCAATCTCCTCCTTAAAACAAGTAAGTTGTTCATGTTCTGGCTCCGGTACGAGAGGAACTTTAAAATCTCCAGGTGCTCGATGCTGCGTCCATGTTTGGACAACTTCCGTAAACACAGAGACGCTCGCTGCGGTTGACGCATGGGGTTGACGTCGTCGTGTCTCCAGTGTCACATGTGCGACACTTTCGGGCCGTTTACCGTCACAGACAAGTCGCATTTAATTGGAAATGTGAACGACCTCGCAAAAACATCGGATTTCACAAAAAAATCAGAATTGAGCGTTAAGCCCTGCAGTCTGAACAAAGAGTCCAGAACAGTCCAAGCACCAGCAGCTGAGTTCGTGTGTATAATTTGTCCTCCTTTGACAATTGTAGACAGACAATTAAATAATCAGTTGCTTAAAGGTTGTATAGAGGATTTTTTAAGGGAAAAAAAAATACAGCGACAGTCCTTTTTCAAATGTTGTGCATGTGTGACACCACCTCCTCCTCCACAGCTCCTCAGTAGAAGCACCTCCTCCTCCCGCCTCTTTACTCTAGAAATCACACTTGTTTACATCCAGTGCACGTTCAAGAATTACTGTTGAAGTGACCCGTCTAGATGTAATTCAGCGACCGATGTGTCAGTTTTTAGACCTTTCGTCCGCTTCGGTCGCGCCGTCGCTGGAAGAGATCTCCAAGAATCACCTCAGTTTGTCTTCGCTCCTTTCCCCCTTCTCTTCTTCTTTCAACGATCTCAAAAACGGACTTTCTTTTGCGGCGAACTGGTCGTGGATTCTCGTCCGCCGTCGCGACAAACTTTGAGCGAACTGCGAGGAAGCTGCGGTTTGAAAAAGCCTCCAAGAACCGCCGCATAAACCACGCAATCCCCGCGCGCCGGCGAGTCGGTTACGCTAGAAACGTAGGTAGTTTGATTGACAACCTGACAGCCAATAGAAAATGAGGGAGCCTCGTTGTCTATTGGCTGATGTTTATCTGGCGTCATTACGTCCACAGTTGATAGATTTTCATTCTTTTTTTTTTTGGTCATCATAATAACAAGGCTGCTGCGTCTCTGTAACGGCATTTTAAACTTTCATTGACAATTTGAAACTAAAAAAAATCCTCCATACAACCTTTAATGAGCGACAGACTGAAAAGATAAATATGTTGAGGTGTACGACAACCGTTTTAAATTTGATAGATGACAGTTTACACGGTTTATTTTTTAAGAGTAAAGATTGTACAACATATATAAGTCACTGTCTTTGTCAATATCCGATACCAGTTTTTTATTTCTGAGTCTCTTCACACTTCAGATTCAGACGGGGAAAGTGTTGACCCCATCAGCTCGATCATGAGTCTGAACATGATCCTCCTCCTCCTCTGCGTGAGTGACCTCTGACCTCCGACCCCGCGCTCCTCTGCACACGTCTCTATTGTCCGGGGTCAGGGGTCAAACGGGAGCTTTCATTTTCCCCCGTCAGAGCTCCGGTCCGGTTCTGCCGACCCGACCTGGAGTCCAGAACAAACAACCACCGGACGAGAACAGATCCACCGCAACTCTCTTATTTACACTTTTCTAACGTTTGAGTTCACAAGCTTTTTCTTTTTTCTATTCTATTCCTTTCTCTCTCTCTCTTCTCTCCTCTCTCTCTCTCCTCTCTCTCTCTCTCTCTCTCTCTCTCTCTCTCTCTCTCTCTCTCTCTCTCTCTCTCTCTCTCTCTCTCTCTCTCTCTCTCTCTCTCTCTCTCTCTCTCTCTCTCTCTCTCTCTCTCTCTCTCTCTCTCTCTCTCTCTCTCTCTCTCTCTCTCTCTCTCTCTCTCTCTCTCTCTCTCTCTCTCTCTCTCTCTCTCTCTCTCTCTCTCTCTCTCTCTCTCTCTCTCTCTCTCTCTCTCTCTCTCTCTCTCTCTCTCTCTCTCTCTCTCTCTCTCTCTCTCTCTCTCTCTCTCTCTCTCTCTCCTCTCTCTCTCTCTCTCTCTCTCCTCTCTCTCTCTCTCTCTCTCTCTCTCTCTCTCTCTCTCTCTCTCTCTCTCTCTCTCTCTCTCTCTCTCTCTCTCTCCTCTCTCTCTCTCTCTCTCTCTCTCTCTCTCTCTCTCTCTCTCTCTCTCTCTCTCTCTCTCTCTCTCTCTCTCTCTCTCTCCTCTCTCTCTCTCTCTCATCTCTCTCTCTCTCTCTCTCTCTCTCTCTCTCTCTCTCTCTCTCTCTCTCTCTCTCTCTCTCTCTCTCTCTCTCTCTCTCTCTCTCTCTCTCTCTCTCTCTCTCTCTCTCTCTCTCTCTCTCTCTCTCTCTCTCTCTCTCTCTCTCTCTCTCTCTCTCTCTCTCTCTCTCTCTCTCTCCGTCCATACCCCTGGCACATCCTGGTGTGTTTTGTATTTATCCTCTCCTCTCCTCCTCTCCTCCTTTCTCTCTCTCTCCTCTCCTCTCTCTCTCCTCTCTCCTCCTCTCCTCTCTCCTTCTCCTCTCCTCTCTCCTCCTCCTCTCCTCTCTCCTCTCTCCTCCTCTCCTCTCTCCTCCTCTCTTCTCGTCCTCGCCGTTGCCCCCTGCTGGTCGCTGTGGCCGTGGGCAGCTGTTGCCATGGCGCCCATCGCCAGACCCCGCACTTTAAATAATGAAGTCGAGGCGAGCGCGAGTCACGCTCTGGACTTTAGAGCGTTTAACGGCCATTTGGGGTTTTTCAGAATCGCCGCTCGCTCCCCGTGTCGTCGTTAATGGAATAACACAGAAGTTTGGACCAAAAAATGCCCCACGATGTTTTACAATCCCAAACCCAAAATGTTTTCATTGTTTCTGAAAATGCATCTGCTCCCGTATCAGCTCGGAATAAAAATCATTTAATCCTGAATAAAAAATGAATTCAGCTTTAAAAAGACCATGTCAACTCTTAATTCCCAATGAAAAAGATTATTTGGAATTAAACTTAATTCCGAAGTAAGTGTTTGGTTTATTCAGATTTTAAAGGCGAATTAATTTATTCCTGGATCATGTAAACAGCAGGAGTGTCAAACTCATTTTGGTCCAGGGGCCGTATCCAACTGACTTTGATCCCGAAGTGTCTGGATCAGAAAACTCATGTCGTATAAACCCCAAAAATAACAATAAGATCAAATATTTGTGCAGAGAAACACAAATCTATTACAGAAATCTTTTTAATTGATGAACTCTTTCTTTTACAAAATATTATAATATTATGAACAACCTGAAACTTTAAGGAAAAATACAATTTCAACACAAAGTTTTAACATGAACTTGTTTGCAAACAGGAATAAGTCAGTTTTTCTTGTAAAATCCTGCACTCGGCTCCACTTTTCTCATGTTGGACATTTTTCTGATGAGGGTGTCACGGTCAACAGTCAAAACGATCGTCCTTTAAGAGCGTTTGGAAAGAGACAAGTCTTCATTTGTGCTGCTCTGGTGGGAGGGGCCACGTACAGAGACGCTGGAGACGCTGCTGTGATAAACACCACAGAAAATTAACCGTTGCGTTGGGACA